TCACTTCCCTAGACCAATCCAATTTCTACTGCTAGTTAATCCAGTCGAGGTGTGATAGGGAAGCTGAATCAATGAAGTCTCCACAGTATGGTAACCTGAAAAGATCTGCATAATGACGAAGCCATTTGACATGCCAAGGTGGATGGGAGAAATTTCACAGGGTTCTACCTCAAGATGAAGAGCTATAAGGAATCAATGACTGCTAAGGGAAGGAGACACAGTTTTCTCCAGGGACAAGCTCCCTGAGAGGTAATCTTGTTCAAGTTGTAGAAGAAAGTGCATTCTACAGTCATAAAAATTCGCTTACCTCATTGGTGTTTTCTAAAGTCTGTGCTGAAGCTAAGAGCTTGTAACAAAATAGCAGTTTTTTAAAGAAAAAGTTCATTCAATAGGGCTATTCTCAAGTTCCTTAAATGCCAAGTATTCTTGCAAATGGAGAAATACGTAGGACTGAAGAACGCCTGAAGCAACAGTATCATTGGCAGTGAGGATTGCGTGTGTGTGTGTGTGTGTGTGTGTGTGTGTGTGTGTGTGTGTATGTAAATCTATGAATGTATATATGTATATGTAACAATAATAATCAAAGAAGAGAACAAGAATTTGAAAGGGAGTAGGGGGACATGGAAGGTATTGGAGGGGGACTGGGAGGGATGGAAACAATGCAAAGACTATACTTATGTATAATGTCCACAAAAATCTCCAAAAAAATTAAAATTCTACCACTAGGTAGAAATTGACCATTGTAAATCTGAAAATCAGAAATCCCAAATGCTTTAACATAAAAACCTTTTGAGCATTTAAAGGGTACCACAAGTAGAAAATTCCATATCTAGTCTATTAATTAAAACAAAGTGGCTTGAAACAACAATTTATTATTTTCTAAATGTCTATGAATTGGTTGTGTCTTGTGTAAATTCACGCAATGGTAACAGTAACATCTTGCTTGAATCTGTAGGTAGAAAATATCCTTAGGAGAAAGCTGCTGGCTATCACTGGTATAAATTGATGTTTCTCTTAATCTTCAAGATATTCATATTTAGTAGTTTGGATTAGGCTTTTTCACAGCATGATATTCAAAGTATCTAATGAAGGAAGTGCACAGATTGCAAGAGTTCTCAGAAATAAACCCTTGGCCTTGGATAGAATCATTTTTCATCACAATCTTTGTCAACACAGTCATAAAGTCAGCTCAGATTCAAGAAGGTAAAAATATCTTTTGACAGGAAAATTAGTTATAACTTGCAAAGGGAAAGCACAAAAGAGTTATGATTTTCTGGGAGGCATCATTAGAGTAAGTCCACTATACCAATATATAAAAATAAAAATAAGGGGCTAAAGAGATGTCTCAGTGGTTAAGCGCATTGGCTGCTCTGGCAGAGGACCTGGGATTGGTTCCCAGCACCCACATGGCAGCCAACAGCCATCCCTAACTCCATTTCCAAGGGATCCAACCCCCTCTTCTGACCTCTGCAGGTACTGCATGATGCAGGTACACCTACCTACATGCAGGCAATACACTCATACACATGAAATAAAAATAAAATTTGTTTTAAAAATAAGCCACAATTTTTAGCCTTTCCTTAGATTTATTCAATAATGAATCAGAGACATAAGTGTATTTGGGACATTCTGGAACATTTGTAAATAAGGAGCGACATCGCACAGCTCTAGTGAGGTTTCCTTCACTTCGTTTCATTATTCTGAAGCAGTACATTCATAGACGTTGATGCATCACACATGTCAGAAAGATAAATTAGTCTACATAGTACAGATTACAAGTTTATCATTTCAGAGTTTGTCTGCTGTGTGTAATTTTTAGAAGGAGGAAAACTAATCTGTGGAAGGGTGGTCTGAATATATTTCTTTTTTTAATTATCATTTGCATTTTGTGACAGGGTCTCCCATCTCCCTGTAACCCCAGCTGGCCTGGAACTCACTATGATGGCTAGGCTAGCTTTGAACTCACAGATATCCGCCTGCCTCTGCCTCCCGAGTGCTGGGATTAAAGACATGCACCATCATGCCTGGCTTGAATATATCTCTTTAATCAAGTATGTTGTCAATTACTGTTCCTCTCTTCACAGAAGAACCTCAATTTGTCCCTGTTCAATGAATTATAGTGAGTATGCTCTCTTGTTTAGTTTTTAGAGTCGTTCCATTTGGGAGGGGGAAAACAAATACCTAGAGAAGAGGTTATTAACCTTGGTGAAAAAATAATTGTCTGAGGACTGCTTAACGATCCCATTGCTCTGGCCACACTTTGTGCCAGCTAAATCATAACTGGTGGCATTGGAGTCACGGCATAAGGCATTTTTTAATTAAAAAATGAAGTTTATTAGTACTCAAAAAATTACAGCATATAGAACTATTCCAAGGATGAAAAAAAAACATAATTTAAAATTCAAATTCCCATAAGGTGGGTTTCTTGGTAAGCATCTCCTGTAGTCACACATGAACATTGCCATTTAAGGATTTATTTTGCATTGAAAATGAGTTATATCTTGAGAGAGGATTCAAAGGATTTACATGAAATCTACCATATATATATATATATGCATGCCTTAGTATGCTTTTTAATATATTTTTATTGAGGTTTTTAATTTCATACAACAGTTCTTAATCAAATTTAGACCTCCCACCCCCATCCATGTCTTCCCTATTCCCCCACAGGATCTCGTATATTCTGCCATACATATTAAGACCTATCCAGTCAAACATTTGTAGCCAAATGTCCTTCAGAGTAAATTTGTCCACTAGAGTCTAGTCAGCTCATCTAGAGATAATATGTAAGGCATACTCTCCTTCACCCAGTAGCAATCAGTCTCCAATAGTTCTCAGTCTAGCGTGGGCTGGCCACCCATTTCTTTTCTCCCTTTTGGGCCATTGTTTAATTGAGTTGGCATGGGTCCTGTGCTCGATGCCATCATTGCCTCTAGTTCACATGTGCAAGCTTCCAGTGACCTGAAAGCCTCTGCTTCCCTGTGTTCATAAACCATCCCAGGCTCTTACAACCTTTCTTCCCCCTCTTCTGTAATGATTTGTGAGTCATGGGTGAGTGAGGTTCTATATACGAGTCCTATCCTATACTGTGCAGCCCGTATTCTTATTGCTTTTGTTTTTGTTTTATAATTTTGTTTTGGTTTTTTTTTTGTTGTTTGTTGTTGTTGTTGTTGTTGTTGGGTTTTGTTTTGTTTTATTTTGTTTTTGGCCTTTTTGAGACAGGGTCTCCCTGTAGCCCCAGCTGTCCTGGAACTCACTATGTAGACCAGGCTGGCCTTGAGCTCACAGAGATCCTGCCTCTGCCTCCTGAGTGCTGGAATTAAAGGTATGTGCCACCATTCCCAGCAGCAGTCTCTTATTCTTTAAAACTTGGCCAGTTGTGGCCTTCTATGTGCATCACTCTCTGTTGTATAAGGAAGCTTTACTGGTGAGAGCTGATGGATGCATTAGTTTTCTCTCTGCCCCTTATTCCACTATGTTCCATGAGCCTTAGTTGTAGAGGTTCAACTGTAGATGTGCCATCCAGTACTGGGCATCTCTCAGACATAAGTTCTCTGTGTCTTACCAGTTGTACAATTCTGTAGTAGCCTCCATCTGTGCAAAAAGAAGCTTCTTTGATGAATGGTGTACAGTATGCTTATCTGTAAATGTAAGGATTGATATTTAGCATATAGTAAGAAATTTCATTTTTCTAGAGCTATGAAAGAGGGATTTCTCTAGGATGTGTGTCCTCTCTTGCCATGTATATTTGACTGTGTTTAGAGTGCCACCCATGAGTTCTCTCCCATTGAGAGGGCTTTAAGTCCAATTAGACAGCTGTTGATTGCCCCAGATAACAGTGCCACTACTACACCAATAGAGGTAGTTTGTCATGATAAGGCATTTTTTAAAGTCACCGGGATGATTCAGAAGAGCATCCACAGGTGGGAACCACTGAGTCTGAGCATCTGCTTTCACTGATTTCCTTAGGAAATCTCACAAAAAATCTTAATATTGATCAAATTCCACTCAGTTAATCAGTTAGTTGATGAAAAGAATATGCTATTTTCTGTTATGTGGGCATACTTAGTTATTAAAAAGATTATCAGGATTATCAAAGACACAAAGAGTTATTTAAAATGATTGACAAGATTGACAAAGATTTAGCCAAATTAACCAAACAAAAGAGAGAAGGGACCAAATTTAGCAAACTCAGAGACAAAAAGAGAAACATTACAAGAGACACTGAAGAAATTCAGAAAACTGTACGGACCTACATTAAAACTCTGTAATTTACTACACTGGAAAATCTAAAAGAAATGGATGAATTTCTAGATATGTACAGACTATTTAAATTTTTATTTAAATTTTTTATAATTTCAATTGAATGTTCTTAATTCCGTACAATATATTTTGATTGTGTTTGGAGTCCCCCCCCCCATCCACATGTCCCTCTTACTACTCCCTACACAATTTCATGTCCCATTGTAAGGTATGAAGGGTTCAAGAGACCAGCAGAGGCTTGTGACTGTGAGAGGTCAAGAGAGGCCATCAGTGGAAGTACAGCCTAGTTACAGTGAAGATTCTAAGGATTGATGAGGACATGGAGACGATTTGAAGTTTGACACTTTAGAGGCCAGAAAAGGCCATTGGTGAAGGTTCTTCCTCTGTTACAATGGAGACCCTGGCATATTAGGGATGTCAGAACCATGGGAATATAACTGAGAACTCTGATTTAAGACCATGCATTCACAAGCACCTAATTTTTGACAAATAAGCTACATTTATCAAAAAGACAAATGGAGAAAAGACAGCATGTTCAACAAATGGTGCTGTTCAAAGTGGATGGCTGCATGTAGAAGAATGAATAAAAAATCTATCTCTCATCCTATACAAATCTCAACTCCAGGGGCTGAAGAGGTGAGTCAGAAATAAAGAGCAATGGTTGCTCTTGCAGAGGAGCTGGGTTCAGTTCCCAGCATCAACACAGTGGCAACCAACCATCTGTAATTCCAGTTCCACGGGATCCGAAGCCCTCTTCTGACTTCCATGGGCATTGCATCATAAGGGTGCACCTACAAATATGCCAGATTTCCAGTCAGTCTCTGCTTTCGGTGCCTGCATAAAGATGTGATCACTCAGCTATCTCTGCTCAGGCCACCTCTGCCACCATGCCTCACCTGCCATTATGGACTTTTTCTGGAACTGTAAGCCAAATAAACTTTTCCTTCTAAAAGTTGCCTTTGTAATGGTGTTTTATCATAACAACAGAAAACTAACCAATACAATCAATATTACATATTACAATATTGCAGGCTGAATTTCTGTAAGATTAATTTCAAAAGTCATCTTCTGAGTATCATCAGAATTAAGTGCTGAGCACTCTGGGAATTACTGAGATATCTCTAAGGAATGACACCTCTTCTCTCCCCTCTCAGCAATCCTAGTCTGTAGTTAAGAGAGAAATAATATTACAGATACTACGTTCTGCCTCAAGAGTAAATCAGTTGTTTGCATGCACTAAAAAATGGCAATGAAAAATTAGAATCCTTTGTTTTGGTCATTCTACTAGAGTATAACTTTCTAATATAATAGCAAAAAATAAACACGGTGTTTAATAGCTTACACTAGATGATAACAATAATGCTCTGAGATAAAAATCATTTATTCACATTTTGTTTATAGTAAAGCATAAACTCAATGGATGAATGTATAAAAAACACGGTATATCATACATGCAATTGAACATTGTCTAACTTTAAAGAAGAAATTTTGTCACATGTTAAATATAGAAAACTTTAAATATATCATGCTAAGTTAAAGAGACTAGTTAAGAGAGACAGATAATGTATGATTCCACTTAATGTGAGGCACCAAGAGCAGTGTGCTGGATAGCTTCAGTTGTCAACCTGACACACCTGGGAGGGAATCTCAGTTGAGGAATTTCCTCCACTGGATTGGACTGTGGCCATGTCTGTGGGGCATTTTCTTTGACTGTTGAGTGATATGGGAGGACTCAGCCCACTGTAGGTGGTGTCTCTCCTGGGTGTCTTTGGTTGTATAAGAATAGAGGCTGAGCACAGGCCAGTGGAGCAAGCCAGTAAGAAGTGTTCCTCCGTATTCTGTGTTTCAGCTCTTGCCTGAATGTTCCCACCCTGAGTTTCTTCCCTGACTTCCTTCGGCCATGAAATGTGACTGTAGGAAGTGAGAGAAAAGAGAGCTGAAAAGGAGTAGATTTGGAGTTTCAGTTTTGTAAGAGGGAAAAGTTTTGGACGTGTACCCCAAATTGTGAATGTATTCAACACTATCTGTGTGCTTTAAATGGATAAAATGATATAAAAATAATTCTATGAGTTTTGCATAATAAAATGTTAAGAGCAAAGGTTATAAAGTTTGTCAGAAACCAGCCCAGTTGTAACTTGGGCTCTAAACTGAGCCTGTGTTTTTTACCCCAGACTCCCCTGTGTCAGTCTTGGTCCACTATCTCAGAGGCACTAGCACAGGTCAAAACTCACTGCAGTCTTGCTTCTGGGTTCCTGTGTAGGCCACCAGAAGCAAGTGAGTAAGTAAGAAGAAGATCTTTGCAGGACAAAACCTGAGAAAACCCTCACTATTTTTACCTGGAAAACAAATAATCTTTGTGATATCATGGTGACAGGCAATGAGTGTAGTGGCTTGAACAGTTTATTCCCTTTTAAAATGATTTGCTGGTTGTCACGGAAACATAGCTTTGGGTAGGCAATACTTTGTGGGTAAAGCCATCCCTGGAAATGAAATCCAAGACTATGCCTATGCTTGGCTGGTGTAGTAAGAAAACATTAATTCTAATAGCCCTACACACACACACACACACACACACACACACACACACACTGTCTTTTCATATAAAGAAAGTTGGAAACAAAATGAAGGCTAATGGCCCATTCTCAGCAGAAAGCTGCAATTTTCACCTGCGATCCTCTATTATTAAGCAATGAGTGGCAAAGCTAAGTTGAGGAATGATTTTGAGGGAGGGACAATGTAAGGCCTGTTTGTATTCCTCTCAGATAAAGGATTAATTCCTCCCAGATGAGGGATTAATTGTTTTACTAAAAACTTACAGCACAATGTGCACTGCAGTGACATCACCTACTGATATGCAGGCATGCCTGAGTGTCACTGACAACTACAAAGTTTCCTGAATATCTCATCAACTTGGAGAATACTGGCCCAGATTTAAATAAAGCTTGTATCTAATAAAGTTAAAACCTAAGTGGGATAATTCCAATGGAAGCTAAGTAGATACTGATGTTTTCTCCATCATCTGTATGCTCTCATTGTCAAGTCTTTGAAGGGAACACAGCATCTTCAATTCTGTCATTGGGCTTTGTCTTTGAGATCCAAGTGGTAACCCATATAAGGGTTCAAATTATTACTGTAATGTGTTTTTTTATTTATGATAATCAGTCCATGAGTCTTGACTAAAACGAAAATTGAGTACTGTTCATCAGCTATATTTAAAAAATCAGCCTTCTCTAATATTGAGCCTTTAGTTTTGAATCAATTTATGAGATGAAATTTGTTTTCAAAGTAAACCGCTTCCTTAGAGAAACTCAGTTCTTCATATAAATATAGTAGTGCTAATCCATTCTTCCATGCTCCAGGTAAGTGAAGTCAAAATGCAGGACTTCCTCTGGCTCCCCTCTGCATAGGGATGCAGCCCCTAACTTGGGAACATTGGGAGACTGCTGGGTTTTTAAGTCAAATGAATGTAAGAGATAAAAATAGATCAGATTAGAAAGGGCAGAGATTGAAGACAAGAAAGCAAGGATAAGAATAAATAAATAAATAGTCCTAATCTAAACAGTGACAGTAGGAATGGAAGGGAGTAGCTGGATAAAAGGGCAATCAGAGAGACAGTATGGAGAGAATGGGAAGCTGGTGAATGAGGTAAGCAACAAACCAAAGGATTATCATCTGTGCCATCTTCCTTAAGCAGAAGCAAAATTATACTGTTCTGCTTAGAATCATCCAGTTGCTCCTCAATGTACTTGCAGTCTCAGCTCCACGGATTTACAACACTTCATACAATTTCAGTCCACATCTGCAACTTCATTGTTTGGTTGTTTACAATCTATCATTACTCGACTTTTCCTCCCATCTCAGTGCCTACATGCTTTCTAGTCCTGCTTCATGTGAAATTTATCTCAATGTACTGAGATCCCAACTAGGATCCCCTTCAAGCTCCTCACAGAAAGATCTGATAACCCTGAACATCAGCAAGAGCAGTTACTCTAGGTCATCGTTTTTTGTCCTCTACACAGCACCTCTGAGTACCTAACATTATCATTTGCTTCTTATATGATTAAGCTGTCATCTCCCTACTGGAATATTAGGTCCCTCAGGCACCCTATTAACAGTGTCCACCACATAATGCGCCTTCAGAGAATAGTTCATATTGGAAATATATATTCATAAACATTTCAAATTATTGTAGAGAAAATAACACTCTGACAAAAATTTTGGTTTGAGATTAAATTATCAAACTCACCTTACCCATCAAGTGCATGTTCTATGCATTAGCCTTTTCCTCGCTGTGACAACATACCTGACAGAAACAGTTGCAGCGTATTCCCTCCTGTAATCATGCTATTTGGTCAGTGGAGGAAGGAGCATCAAGAGTCTAGTTTGTGCTATACAGAGAGACCCTTTAAAAAAATAAAATGAAAAGTTAAGGAATGGGAAGGGCATGGCAGGGAGGAGTGCTCACATCTAGGCAGTCAGGAGAGGGAGAGGAAGGAAAGAGGGGCTAGGAAGAGGATAAATACTTGTGATCATAGGTTCCCTGCTTTTCCCCTTTTTATTGCATTCAGGACCACAGCCTGTGGAATGGTGCTGCCCACATTCAGGATGGGCCTCCTTCCTTAGTCAATCCTCTTCAGAAATACTCTTACAGACACACCCAGAAATATTTACAGGGTACTTTTAAATCCAATTATGTAGGTGATCAGGATGAACTATTATGAACTGTGGTTCTTATGCAGAAGTTGGAAGTATAAATTTTGAAATCTAATAACAGAATCATTGCATATTGAATTCTATAAGAGCCATAAATGCTTTTAACAGGGAAGAATTTGATTGAAATACTCAGAAACCAATTCTTAATCTTCAGTAAGTAAACCAGCTGCATAAAACTTTATCCTGAAAATGTTATTCCTGAGAATTAAAAAATTGTATTCAGGAGTCATATTATGCTAAGAAAGAGGTTGGTGTGCTTACATCACCCATGCCTTCTTCTGCGCTCTATGGTATTTTATTGCATTATTGGGAAATCTTATTTTTTCAAGTAACATTGATGGGTTTATTTAAGATAAGATTAGTAGAAGTAGAAAGGGAAATTACTTCTAAAATATGAAACATAAAATTTATTCAAAGTTTTAATATTTGCAAAATTTAAAAGCAAGTGTTTCCATGAAATTGGTACTTTAAAAGCCTTGGTATTCATGTGTTAGTTATGTCAAGAAAGTCAATGCCACTTCCGAAATGGCGGTTGGCACCTTTAATCCCAGCACTTGGGAGGTAGAGGCAGGCAGAGCTCTGTGAGATGGAGGCCAGCCTGGTCTGCATACTGAGTTCCAGGTCAGCTGGGGCTACAGGGAGACCCGATAGCAAAAAACAAAAAGCGAAAAAGTCAACATCCTGCCTTTTGCCTTTTGCATCTTAATAGGAGGCATATGAATTCTATATTATTTATTACTGGAAACTGATAAATTTATACTTTATAATGAATCTAAATAGAGCAAGGGAGAAATATTAGGAATTAATATGTAAGCTAGAGGGAGAGAATATTGTTAGAAACAAAAAGAAAGAAGGATATCTGGAATCGCATGCTCAAGGAACTGAAAAGGCCCTGTTTACAGACAGTATTTTTACCTTCTTCTATCATTATCTAGTATATTTCATCGTTCTGTTGCAAAAGATTTTAGCAATGGTTTGTGTCATCTACTCAGGATTTAATGGTTATTCTTCCTTGATGGTGGAAAAAAAGAAAAAATTGCTCATCTGTAATGAAATCAAGGTAGAATGGAAAAATTTACTGGGTTGAGTACTGATAGTCACATATCTACAAAATGATCTACATGTTCCAAACATTGGGACCTGTGCAACATGTTTACAAACCTTTCCCTTTCCTGTCTAACTACTATATTTATTACTCAGGCTATCAGTATTAATTGGCATCATAAACTAAAACATTTACATTTCCAAAAGCAAACGATTCTTAACACAATGGTTGCTAAGGCAACAGCCTAACAGATACATACAATCCATTTCCCTATGGTATTATATAGAAATCAGAGCACCACAAATCCAGCTACATCCAGCTCCTTGTAGAGTTTCTCAGCTTGAAAAATATGTCCTTAGAAAGGTGGTTTGTTCCTGTGAAAGCACACACGATTAGACTAGTGACAAACTTGAAATTAATCATTTGAAACAAAACAGGCACGATTTTTATAACCTTCAGATGATCACTGTAGAGAGTTATACAAAATAATTCTAAAATTGGGTTAAGATAATTAAATCATATTTCAAGCAATCTAGGTGATTATACTTACGGAAAAGGAGGAATTTTTGTTACTTTCAATAAAAATGTAGAGGATTTAGATGTGTACTATATTTAGAAACTCTAATAGCTGTATGCAGAGGCTGGTAGGAATCTAGTCTATCTCTGGAGCTGAGGAATACAACATTTTCTAACCCAACCTTTATTCTTTCAAGGAATCAAGAGTAAGTCTTTATCACCTTGCTTTAAATCAGCCCTTTTCTAATATTGTTTAAAATATTGTTTAAAATCCATAACAAAAATGTGTACTCAATCATTTTAAAGTGTACAATTCAGGAGTGTTCATGAGTGTAAAAGGCTTTCCTCAAGACACTGTCCTCAGTTTTTCAGAACATGCACTCATAGATGTGATTTCTGAGTGACATGATAGCTCTGTTTTAAGATTTTGGAAACATCATATATTTTCTATAGAAGTTTTACCACTTTACAAAATCACCAATGTGTATGCAAATGTGTTCATTTTCCCATACATTATAAACATATATTATTTACTTGTTTTCTCTTGGTTTTTTTCTGATAAGAGCTATCCTATTGGAGATGAGAGATGACAAAAAGATAGGAAATGGCACCTTTTATTATATCTATTTTTTTGTTGTGAAAACCACTTAGCAACTTTCAAATACACAGTACATTATTATTAACTGCAGTTAATACATTGTACAACTGATCTCCAGGAGCTGTTCATCTTCTCTAATGAAAGTTTTAATTTCTATCTCTGTGGTGATTAGTGATATTGAGCATCTTTTCATAAGACAGTTTGTCCATTGTATATTGCCTTTGGGGAATTTCTATTTAAGTCTTTTGCCTATTTTTAATTGTGTTATCTGATTTTCTTATTGTTGAATTATGAGGGGACTTCAGAGTTCTTAATAACCTCTGCAAAATCCTTTATGCCGTATAACTTGCAATTCACAGGTTCTGCTGATGGGTGCAGACATATTTGGGAACAGTTATTCAGAGGACCACAAATACATGCTTAAGGACTTAATTTCTTGTCAGCTCACTGGCTCATTTTGTAGAAGGATTTTAAAAATAATCTGTCTGGTTTGTACTTATTTTGTTTACTAACCCAGTTTTAAAAATTGACCTAGTTTCCTACTTTAAATTACCTGAGTATCAAAATCTAATTCTCTTACTTACAGTATTGATTGTTTATTGCCATAGGGATGATATTTGCTTATAGTGGTCCTCCTTGATTCCATTTAAAAAACTGACTGGATGCATCTACTTTCTGCAGGGTAACTGCATAGTTTAAACAGCACTACCAATATCTATTTTGCAAGTAATCACAAAAAAGGATTTTTAAGCTCTCTATCACAGTGCATTTCTTTATTTTCAGCTTTATGGGTATAATTTCCAAATAAAATAGAATGTTTATGATATATGACATGATTTTTATTTGATGAAATAATAAAATTAAGCTACTAAATAAATATATCACTTCTAATATTTATTTTTTGTTGTGAAAACCTCTTAGCAACTTTTAACTATATAATACTTTATTAACTGCAGTTGCCACATTGTACCATTAGTCTCCAGGAGCTGTTCTAAATGAAACTTAGTGTTCTTTGGTCCACCTCTCTGTACTCCTTACCACAGTCCCTGATAACCACTATTCTACTCTGTGGTTTTATTTTTTTTATAGTCTGTATAGAAATGACATAATGCAGTAGTTGCTGTTTTGTGATTGTCTTACTTTGTATAATATAATGTCCTCGAAACTCACAAATATTTGTATAAAAATACTCATTTCTTAAGGCAAAATAGGATTCTATTGTATATAGTTACCACATTATTATCTATCAATAGGCATTTATATTGATTCTTAATTCTGAATAATGCTATAATAAATACCAGAGTGAAATATTTCTTCATTTCCTTTTTGTTATTTACCTAGAGGCAAGATTGATGAGTCGTGGTAGTTCTATAGTTAACCTTTTGAAGAACCACCATATTGTTTTCCATATGGCTGTTCTAATTTATGTTCTTGCAAATAATAGACAAAGGTCCTCTTTTCTCTGCATCTCCATCAACACTTTCTGTGTTTTGCTTTTTTGATAAAAGCCACTCTAACAGTTGGGAAGTAATATTTTACAGTGAGCTTCACTTTTTATGGTTTGGCTGTGATGTACCCATTCCTTTCCCAACCATCCTAAGCATTCATGTATTTGAAACATGGGCTTTAATGTGGTGTCACTGAGATGGTGGGACTTTTAAATGATGGGGCGTAAGGCTGGGCATGGTGGTGCATGCCTTTAATCCCAGCACTTGGGAGGCAGAGGCAGGTGGGTCTTTGTGAGTTCAAGGCCCGCCTGGTCTACGTAGTGAGTTCAGGTCAGCTGGGACTACAGGGAGACCCTGTCTCAAAAAGACACACACACAAAAAAGATGGGGTGTAGTTGGTTATGGCAGCACATGCCTTTAATCCCAGCACTTGGGAGCCAGAGGTAGGCATATCTCTGTGAGACTGAGGCCAGCCTGGTATAGAAAGTGAGCTCTAGGCCAGCTGGGGCTATGGAGAGAGACCCTGTCTTAAAAGAGAGATGAGGGGGCAGAGTGGGAGGTCCTTAGGTCATTGAAATCTCCTTGAAAGAGATTAGTATTTTGCTCTTGAAATCCATGAATTAAATTTTCTGTCTTTTTAAAAATATTTTTTTATTGTTTGAGAATTTCATGCATGAATATAATGTGTTTTGATCAAATCCACTCCCCTACATCTCCTTTTTTGTCTTCACCACTTTTCCCTCCAACTTCATGTGTTCTTTTCTGTTGTTTTATTTTGTTGGCTTTTGGAGACAAGGTCTTTCTATATAGCCCTAGTTGGCCTGGAACTCACTATGTAGATCAGGCTAGCCTCAAACTCACAGGAATCCACCTGCTTCTGCCTCCCAAGTGCTGAGATTAAAGGCATGGGTCACCATACCTGGTCTGTACTTTTTTTTTTAATTTGTTTTTTAATGTATGCAAGTGTTTTACCAGCATGTATGTAAATGCATGGCTATGGAGACCAGAAGAGGTGCTGGATATCCTGGAACTGGAGTTTCAGACAGTTGTTAGCCACTATGTGTCTGCTAGAAACTGAACCGAGGTCAACTACAAGAGCAGCCAGTGCTCTTAACCACTAAGCATCTCTCTAGCCCTTATGTGCTCTTTTTTCAAACTCACTGAGTCCACTCAGTGCTACCTGTATGTGCAAAGGTGTAGGACTCTACTGGTCCTACATGGGTAGCCCTCAAGTGTCTACATCCATGAAGGAAACTGACTCTCCCTTCTTCAGCAGCCATCAATTACCAATAGCTCCTCAATTAGGGATGAGACTTATAAACTCCTCCCCTGCTCCTGCTGGGATTTTGTCTGGCTTGATCTTGTGCAGGTCATGTGCATGCAGTCCCAGTTGGCCATTTCAGGTTCTTGAGAGCACCTGTCCTTAGTGGGTAGTTCATGCTCAAGTCTTTTCCCTAGTTTCTGCTCAGTTGAACTAAGCTCTTCATTATCACACATCTGCAAAAATGGTGATGACTGCATAGGCTGGTTAGCAAGCACTTTTGTATACGATGTCTAGATCAGTCTGTTTGTTTGTTTATTTGTTTGAGTACCAAGGATTGAATCCAGGGTTTAAAGCTCCCTACCACCAAGCTATATCCTCAGCCCTTTCATTTTTGTGCATTTCATAGGGAACAGCTCAAACAATTTTAAACATCTTAAAACCCCGTCCTCAATGGTACCCTCCCATAGCCCGCCCCTTCCACTGGAGCCCATATATTTGGTCATCCCTGTTAAGGCCCACTGGGATATCAGTGTCCCCAGCTGTTCTCCAGTGCAAGTCCATTCACTAAGTCTAGTCAACCTATCTAGAATCCCTTGTTTTAGGAAGATTAGCAGCAATCTGTTACCAATTCTTCCAGATAAGATTGAGGTCTGCTGTTCATTTGCCCAGTTCTATCCTGGGATATTGTCTGCCTGAGTTTGCATGGGACTTGCATACGCTGACACCATTGCCACAGAAGCCTATGAGCAGGTTCCCAGGAGCTTGTAGGACTCTGTTTCCATATGGTCATGTACCTCCTCCCTGACTCTTACAATCTTACAATTTCTGCTCCCTCTTTCTTGATGGTCCCTGAGTCTTGGGTGAGTGAAGTTTAATAAAGGGATTCTGTCCAAGGATCAGCATTCAGCAGAATCTTGATCTCTACACTTTGGCTATTTGTGACCTTTTGTGTAGCTGGCCCTCTGCTGTATGAGGAAGCTTCAATATTGAGAACTGAGAGATTCATTAGTGTCCTCTTCATTATCCCTGTTCTATGTTCCGTGAGCCTTAGGTGTAGAGGTTGCATTGTAAATGTGTCACTTAGGCCTGAGCAATTCATAGATAATGTC